CCGTGACCGATCCCGGCAAGGTGTGGCAGCGAGTAAAGCTCTGTGCGGCAAGTTCTCAGTGCCCTTTGCGGCGAAGGTGCAGCATGGTCCTGTGAGGGACTAATTAAGTATGTCTACAACAAGCAAGACGGAGCTTGTGTGGCTAGCCCTACCCCTCCAGGTGCCTACTATATAGGGCTCTAGGGGCTCTAGTACCCTATATAGTAGGCACCTGGGGGAGTTAGGGTAGGTTATCTAGGTTGCTTCTGGGATTTGCCTTGATGCAGACTTACAAAAGAACATCCGAGGAGTCCGAGTCGTCCTGCGCGCGCTTTTCACTCTACCCATAGGCCCCATAGTAGTGTCTTGTTGTGGCTTATATTTAGGATCCTATTAGGTAATCCCAAAGAGGAACTGCTATGGGGCCTATGGGTAGACTCTAGACGACAAGGCTCTTGCCGCCCTCCCGGCCAAAATCAACCATTTCGAAGGGTCTTGGGCCTCAAAAGGTTCGTGATGCAGGACCTCCCGGCGCAATTTACAGTTTTTTGACAGAAACAGGTCGAAGGTTCCGATGTCTAGTTAAGGATTCCCTAAACCCTACACTTTCCTGAACCCCTTGAGGTACTTAGGTTGTTCATCATGGGTTTGCTTGAAAAACCTCCGCAAGCGATGGGGGCTCGGAGTGCCGAAACTGCGAATTGCGAAGTACCCAACCCATGCAAGCAGCTACGATGGCTTTAGGGGTTTGGGGCTTCCCATCTTTTTCCAACTAGTCTGTCCCCATCTTCTTTCTTACGAAATTCTGCACTAGCCTGTGCCCTAAACCCTAAACCTTCGATCCTTGCCACTCAACCCTTGTACCCTAAACCCTGAACCCTATTACCTCAAACCCTGGTCTCCGGGGCCTGAGCCTTTAGTGTTCAGGGCCCTATACCTAAAGCTGCACGCTTGCGTAAAGAAGTATTATTGGGGAGGGGGGGCTGAAGAATTGCCCACATTATTTTAGGGGTTGCTTATTATGGGTATAGTATAATGGGCCCCAAAACCTTATTCTAATTATTAAGGGGCCCACAGTACATATGTAGTAAGTACTGAGAGAACCACATGCATCTTGCGACTGATTATGCTCTTCACAAGAGAATCAATAGAGCGAATGATCCACAGAAAGGGTTGTGATAACGATCACAACTGTCGCATAATATGCGGTGATCAAGAAACTCGGTGCAGAACTCCCTTAAGGCCAATGTGCGTATTAGATCAGTACACCAGCCCATGTTGGGTCCAGCATTCATTCAACGCAGAGCCTAGTCATAGTCTTTTGCTAAGCCCCCAAATTCTTAAGCCCCAGAACCTGAACCCTAAACCCTATACCCCAACCCACCTTGAGACTTTAAGCTGGCTTAGTACAGTACACTGTAATGTATCCTACTGTATTAAAACATACCCGTGATACGAAGCATCGAGGCGCTGGGTGGCACCGCGGCGGCGGGCTTGCTTGCGGGCCCCTTGGGCGGCGCGGTGGGCTTAGCCGCAGGCTCCGAAACTGCTCAGGGGTCGAGGACATTTTCAGGTGGGTAGTTACCGTTATAGGAGCTCCGAAAATAAGGGGTACCCTATTTTGGGGTCCTTATAATAAGGATCCTACTATTAGGGTACTATATTAGGGCCCCCTGTTTTCGAAAACCCCCAAATGAGTCTGCCCACCAAACTTCCAACAAGGTAGACCCCCGAAACCTTAAACCTTAGATAGCCAATGGGAGTACTTTAAACTTTGTGGCCTTATGTATTAGGTCTATATCCTAAAAAGTTTGAACTTTTTTGGGCCTGGTTGTTGAAGAAGAGAGTAGAAGCCTTATAGAAGCCCTGTATACCCTAAACTCCCCACCTGTAGTTTTCTTTAACTGAGGGTTTCAGGCTGATCTCGGGGGGCTTAATCGATGTGCCATACAGACATATCGCCATACCGACAGACCTACATACACAAGCGCCCACACACACACACACAGGTACATAAATACATACACTCATGCAATCAACCAATCACTCAGTCAGTCAGTGAGGGACTCTTTTGAATCAACGACTGAGTCAATCCATCAATCAACCAATCAAACTCTATATATATATATATGTATATATATATGTATAAATATAAATA